CCCTCTTCTAATACAAAGAAAGTGAGGATTCCTTAAGATGATACAGTGTGGTGGGCATTGTCTTGGTATGCTGCATCTGGATACATGCTCATTTTGGCACCAACTGAAACTCCTTGCATATTTCTGAATACTAATTCTCTTATAATCCTTGCATCATCTCGAGATCAAAATTTTGAAACTATGACTGTTTGATGCACCCTTCCATATTGGCAGATATGCTCTACTGCTGCTGTTGTAATAGCCCTAGATTGCTGGCAATTTAGTTCAAACTGTTTGATACACATATAGGTGATCATTTTGATCTCTGAAATTGCATTAATAGGCCTGGTTTGTATGCGTAGAGGAACTGAAGGCTTGAAGGAAATAAGAATGAGAATAACTTTTCCCCTCTTTGTTGGATTTGATTGCTCAAGGATCCTTGTTTAGAAACTTAAATATGACAAGTAGTAGGATCCAGTGTGTTGAAGTAAGTTTTGCTTGATAGAAAGATGTTCCTGAAGATGTATGCATCTAAATGTGTTCTGTGGTCCTACAATTATTTCTTGAACACGGGTAATTGTCGTTGTAAAAGAGAATCTTTAGTGCCTACCAAATTCAGCTTCCCGGTGTGGCAGTGTTTTAATGCCTCAACTAAGTATCCATGGTTAACTGTGATTCTTGTGTTCTATATCAGGCTAAGAGAGCTCTGAGAGCATTGAAAGGATTGGTAAGACTGCAAGCACTTGTTAGAGGGCATGCTGTGAGAAAACAAGCTGCTATAACTCTACGCTGTATGCAAGCTTTAGTGAGAGTTCAAGCTCGGGTACGAGCAAGGCGTGTGCGTTTGGCTTTAGAAAGTCAAACCGAACAGCAGAAAGCTCATCAACAACTTCTACAGGAAGCACGTGTTCGAGAAATAGAGGTGATTACTTGCTCCATTGTCAACGACTATTATCTCTTTTGTTGCTTTGGGACTGTGATCTGGAAACCTTAATTCTTCTCCGGGGTGCCATCATTACCTTGGATTAATTTCATGCTTTTATAGCACAAGATTTTCAAGCATGGTATTATAATATACATGTGGGTAACTAACTCTATCCAACATTTGAAAAAAAAAAAGCAATTTGGGAAAGCATAAGAAGTGAAGAAGGCAGTAGCTCACAAATTCATTACAAAATTTTAGTTATTTGTTCCCTTAAGTTTGGAATATTGCCAGTAGATTCTATTTTGCATACTATGGCGTTTTATAGTCAGTGCTTGGTTTTTGGTAAAGCATGAAGCGTTTTGAAATAGTAGGATGTTTACGCGTCAGATCGGGCTGAAGCATGACTATATATCTTACTGAATGTTTATGAATTCAGGAAGGATGGTGTGACAGTGTTGGCTCTGTAGAACAAATACAGTCTAAGTTGCTAAAGAGGCAGGAGGCTGCTGCTAAGCGTGAGAGAGCAATGGCATATGCCCTAGCTCATCAGGTATAACTCCATTGATAGTGTAACTGATTTTCTTAATGATTTTTCCTTATTGGATTGGTTGTAGAATAATATGAAATTGCCGCCGTCTTTAATTAGCTTGTGAAAATGCTCATGTTGTTAAGAATGAGAGTAGACAACATGAAGCATGATAGTTCCAATTTGGTCCTGCAGCCATGCCACCAATGTTTATTTTGAAAATCTAATGTGCTTGTAATTTCGCAGAGTAATAAATTACCCTTTAGAACCAATCTTTTCCAGTTAGTTATACTGTGATTCGAAAGAGAACAAAAAATCAGGGAAAAAGGTCAATTCGGTTATGTTAGATGGATATAGAAATTAATTTAAAATCTGGGAAGGGGGATGGGATGCGGTGTGGGATGGAGTGAGGTGCAGAAATTCTATTCTGCTGGTGTTATGATAGCTGACAGAAAGTTTACCCTCGGCATAGAAAAACAATCAAATTTGTTATTTGCTTGTGTAAAAGTTACTAATCATCATGTGGTTTGCTTGGTGCTTTATTTCAGTATCTTATTTAGGTGATTAACCTTTGGGTTTGGATCTGATGTAGTGGCAAGCAGGATCAAGACAGCTAGCTGCTGCCTCTTCTGGCTTTGAACCAGACAAGAACAGCTGGGGTTGGAATTGGTTGGAGCGATGGATGGCAGTCCGTCCCTGGGAAAACAGATTCCTTGACATCAATCTGAAGGATGGTGTGAAGATACTTGGTAATGAAGATGCTGAAGGTACCAGTGAGACTAAATTACAGCCGAAATCTTCTGGGAGGAAGCCCCTGTCAGCGAATCTCCCTGCACAAAAATCCACCCCATCTAACTCTGATGAATCTTCGACTGGCAAGTCTGCAAACACCCAAGACGTATCCAATTCAGTGTCAGCTAAGCTTAAATCCAAACAAGTTCGTGAAGTCCCCATTGAAGAAGCTAACTCAAGACCTATCGCTGGCTCACGATCCCGCAGTAACCCAAAAGAAAGAATGATAGTACAGGATGCAAAGCCCAAAAAGCGTTTGTCTTTGCCTAATAATGGTACGTTGGTGCTTTCTTAAACTATGCATCTCTTATGATGCCATCCACCTCTTTCATCTACCGATGTGTACCTAGTCATCTTTATCTTAATATCTGTGGGTAGATGGTCATAATAAAAACTTAAAAAGCATAGGCTGTTCTTTTCCTAATTGGAAACTAGGGCTCTATAGTCCTGTCAAAAAGGAAAAAAATGGAGTACTAAATATAACAATTGATCCCTTCTCAACCACTTAATTTAAGTGGGATTATTTATGCACATATCTTTTATAGATGGAGTTTATACATATTGGTTTCTTTAGTAAACATTGACGCGTGTGTGATACTAAAATACTTGACCAGGAAATCAAGGAGCGCAAACAGCCAAGACAGTTGCTAAAATTTCTGGTAAAAAGAATCCTGGCACACGACAGCCAATCAAGGATAAACCAAAGTCGGATGGAGTTGCTGTAAAGTCTGCCCAACAGGCCATCGATGTTTAATCCGACTGCACTTGTGATATAAGAAGGCCATCTTGTAAGTTATCAGCTCTCTCATTAGTTGTAAATATAGTGTGGCATGTAGCATGATAGGAGAGGATGATCTTATCCTACTACTTCTAGTGGAACTCCTTTGAGGCTTTGTGTAAGCGTTATAGAGAATATAAGCTCATGCCCTAATATATTGAAATAAATATGGCGAGGACATGCAAGTTTTTTTTTTTTTTTTTTTTCTTTTTCAAGGTGTTATATTTTGTGCAATTTTTTCTTTCTTTTTTCCTGGTGCATTGTAGTTCTAGTTGGAAAATTGTTGTATAATTTATCATGTGTAATATGAGTAAAATTAGTCTTTGAATCTGTCCTTGTGTAAATTTATCTGGTGGTGTTCAGTTTTATACTTTTATGCAGTTTTGCAGCTTCATCAATATTTTCCAGCAATTTCCCATGTACAACAGATTGTACAATGTACATGGTGCAATTAAGGCTGTATATTTTCCATGTGCTGTTTTATTGTATCTTGTTAGTACACGGACCCAAAAAATAGCTACGGTTATACCTTACAAGTTACTAACAATGGTACAACCAGTTATACGATAAAGACCCTCTCCCTCGTGAATATCAAAGTTTTTTTTACAGGATTGGCAATACGGAGTATAAAGGAGGCATCAATGATCAAAAAAATTTGTGCATTATTTTAATGAATATCGTAAGTGGAAAACATATTAAAAAGGAAAAATTCATGGGAACAATCCCATCTTTAGGTCATTCTTTTTTAATAATCCCACCCTTTAGATTAATACTAGATGGAAGCCCATGCGATGCACAGTTTTTTCATCTAAGATTTTTAATTATTTGATTTATTATATTTAATAATTTCAGACAAAATTACAAAAGTTTAATATTAATTTTTTTTTTACTGTAATTTATAATGAATTTATTAAATATAAATAAATTGTATATATAATATTTTTTCCGTTGTATAAAATCTTTAATGTGAAATGAGTAAAACATATTTTGTAATTTATAGGATGCTCAATGAGTAAAAACATATGAGAAGTTTTCTTCTTGGTCAACAAAATCAGTTCATGTAGGAGTAAGATGCTCAATTATCTATGGTTGTACGTACTCTATGGATGAGTAAAACATCTGTGTTGAAATCTTTACACTCGGATATGTATATAGATCTTGTTTGAATGGTTTCAATATAAATTTTATTAATATTCACTTTTTATAATTTTTACAATGTTGATTATTAATCGTTAAAATTGTATGTGGACAAGTGTGATATACTATACAAGAAACGCGTCAATAAAAAAACGAAAATAGTAAATTTGTAAGTATCATGGCCTATATTAAGGTTTAGTATGTACTTCCGTTTTTTTAATTAGTTGACATCGTTTGACTTTTACACTATTCACAAACTACACTTTAATTAGCTTTTGTAATTTATATGAGTAGCTATGATAAAACATATTTTGTAATTTATAGGATTAGTTACGATAAAACATTTTTTGTAATTTATACGGTCAAAAATTTTGAAGTTTGACCCATTTATTTGCAATGGGGCAAAAAAATAGTAAAAAAAAAGATTACTAATCTAAAGATTATCCCATTTAAACAACTGCTCGGAGTAAAAAATATGCAGCACTTAATTCAAAATAATATTTCTTAAGCTGAATATTTTTATAACCTATCAATCAACTACCACTAATAAGCAATAACTTTCTAAATACTTCGTATATTTATTTTAGGCAACTTCTCTTATATCTTTTGAATAGCAGAATATAACGACCCCTATTTTCTAAGAAATAAAGTTTCCTATTCGTTGTCATATTCCAAGTATACAATCCTATTAAGGTTTGACTGCTTCTTTATTAGATTAATTAATTAATAATAATTTAAACCCTATATTATTCATCTATTCTTGTATTTATATAATAATAATAACAATATAACGTTTACCTCTTCCCTTCAAAAACCTTAAACCTTTGATTCTTCCGCCTTCCCCTTCACCAGAAACTTTAACAATGACCGCAAAGCAATTTCACGATTTTCTAGCGGAGATTAAATTTAAGATTTTTGATCTAATTTACACTATTAATCGAAATAACACCGTTAAAGAATTTCAAGATTTTCCAAAGGATGTTCAGTATAACATCCTCAAAAGATTGCCGGTAAAGTCTCTTATACGGTTCATGTGTACCTCAAAATCCATATATTCCATTGTTACTGATCCAACTTTCGTGGATTTATGGCATACCACTTCCGATATGGAGTATCATATCTATTCTCGTTGCACTTTCTACGACGAACAAACATTTTTGCTGTATAAACATCTGTCCGGTACAGGTAATGCGATCACATATAAGAAGGAGTTCACTAATGTCCCGGTTGGTGGAAGCCATTATGTTATTGGTTCTTGTCACGGATTGGTTTGTTTTGCTAATGTTTTTCATCATCAAGGTTTAACCCTAATTTTTTGGAACCCGTTTTTAGGTAAATCATTAAGCATCCCTATTACCCATCTTACTGCCAATATACGATCTCGTGCATTAGGGTTTGGGTATGATAGGCGGTCTTTAGATTTCAAAGTTGTTAGAATCGGTGTTCTCCCTAACGACAGCAAGCATGTTTGGGCAGAAATCTATACACTCCATTCACATACTTGGAAAATAGTACACGGATCAATTTCACGTCCGGTATCAAAAATTATGGAGCAAGGAATTTTTACAAACGGGGTTGGGGTTATACACTGGATTATGGAAATTAAGTCTACACGTAAATATAAAGGGCAAAACACCACTGAGTATGTTATAGTGACATATAATCTAGCCAAAGAAGCTTTCGGAGAGATTAAAGTTCCGAAACATATTTTTCATAAATACATGTACCTAACCAAACTTGTTATAAGCGGAGAGGAGAAGCTTGCAATATATCACAACGATAGGTTTTGTAAATTGTGGGTGATGGAAGAGTACGGCGAGAGTGATTCTTGGAAGAAAATTTTTGGCATCGATTGTGGAGATGCATATGGGAAGGTGTTAACTAGTCTAGCTAACGGCAATATTGTGGTATCAAAGAGTGATGGAAGTTCGATATTATATAGTCCAAAAAACAAATCTGTCCGTCCATATAAAAAAGAGTTCGCCATGCTCGATTATGTAGGGCCTTACGTTGAAAGCCTTGTTTTTCTAGGGCAACAACGTCTTGGAGGATCTTGATGCTTAGTAAGGAAGATGGTGAGGTCTTTGGTGACTAGATGTTATCTACAATCGTAACTGCAACCATGCTTGTTTACTAGAACCTTATTAGTGGTATTTATTTGGATTTCATAATCAATTTTCATTGTGTAAACACAAATTTTAAATATGCAAAATATAGATTCAAAACAAGTGCAACAAAATATTGATTTTATTAATTTGAGAATATTGGGTACAATCTCTAATTTTGTCCTCTGATTCGATCTCCACTTTGACATAATTCACGGATTGACTTGATTCTCGAACGAGGGCTGTCGAAGCTTGATCTCAATCGAAGATTTGATGCAGAACTTTGACTTATGTTGATGTAGACCTTTGACTGTTCGTTGTTGATGTAGACCTTTGACTTGAATTCTTGATTGAGGGCCGACGAGGCTTGATTTCGATCAATGACTATTTGATATAGAGGTTGAACTGGTATTCATGATGATTTGAAGTCCTCCTTTCCTTTGTGTTGAGGGCCGTCGAGGCTTGATCTCTTCCACGGGTGATCTTCTAGAGTAGAACGACACGTCGAATGCTTGTTGTTCTTCTTCTAGGTTTTGAGATATTTTCTCTGGAAAGGTTTAGAGTATTTGATGAGAGGTTTTCTCTGGAGAGGTTTAGAATATTTGAGAGGCTTTTCTCTGTATTTTGATTCTCCTTGTTTTCTCTAGGATTTCCTCTCCTCTCCTCTCCCAAATGAAATAGGGAGAGCTCTATTTATAGAGTGAGACACCCTTAGGGTTAGGGTTTGATGTGTATTGAATTGGATGTTGGACTTGACAATAAAACCAAACTAAAATGGGTTAATTTAATATATTCACCCAAATTAATTTACTTTAATTAAATGTCAATAATAAATGAGCCAATAGTTTGACCTTTGACTCACATAATATCCAACGTGACACTTAATTAAAATTTTCATGCCTACACATTGTCTATAAGATTTGGTGTCTTTAACTTTACTTTTTTGATGTATTGCTATACTATTATATGTTAACTAAGGTTTGGATTATATTTTTATTATAATTGATTATTATAGCTTTCAAGGCCTTGTTTGGTTGCACCAAATTTATGTAGGCACTTAAAATTCCTAGGAAATGTAATATTGATGTGTTGTTGGTAACCAAAAAAAGTCTTCGTATCAGTGGTATTTAGTTTCTATTCATGATTTTATTGTTACAATAAAGGTTTATGTCCTTTGTTTGATGATTTTCTTTGTGTATTTTTATAAAAGTATTTTTCATGTGTTGATTATAATTTTTTTTTATTTATTGTTAGGAAGTTCAAATTCAATGGAATTTAGTCAATCTAATCGATAATTCAGGGATCTTTAATTTTAATGCTAGTTTCTCAACAGTTTGATGCTTAATTATTCCTCTAATTTTTACACGTCCTAGCGTGTAGCTTGTAAATAGTAAATAGTGTATGGGTTTGGTTTCAGAAGTTAGTACCACACTACTACAAAAATGGCCAAAGAGACCTATAATAAGAGACCTGTTGGTTAATACAACATGTCTCTAAAATGGCAAAGGCCCCACATAAGATAGAGGGACGAAAATAAGAGACCTGTTGTTTTGCTGACTGGTCTCTTATGTGCATAAGGTTGGCTTTTCTTTTTTTTTTTTTTTTTAAAAAAAAAAATACCTTTTCCCTTCTTAATTCTTATTCATTTATATAGTTCATTATTAGTCATATGACTCTCTCTTTCCTCGTTCCCCCTTATATGCCTCTTTCTCTTTCACCTTCATCAATTGACTCACCTCTTAATCTCTCATTTCATTTCTCTCTCTCTCTCTCTCTCTCTCTCTCTCTCTCTCTCTCTCTTTTTTAAACTCCCAGAGCGATTGATCGCGCCACTAAATCCTCCTCATTAACGGCGCGCTACTGCATCCTCCTCCTACGCCGGCATTGCCTTAAATGTCAATTTTGACCATAAAAACTCTAAATCTAAAGTCTTATGGTCAAATTTACTCAAATAATTCTACAATTGAATTAGTTTTGGAAAGGTATGTTTCCATATCAATTTAATACTGAAAAGTTTTTGGGTTGGTGACTAGGTGTTTCTATGGCGGTGGTTTTTGAGTTTATTTATTTATTTAAAACAGGTTGTTTTGGTTTAGATTGGGTAATTTTTTGGGTTTTTCGTGGGTGGCTAGGGTTTTACGGGGATTGGGGTTGCTTTTCACTAGGGGTTGGTTTTCACGGGGTTGGGGTTGGATCGGTTTATTACGGTGGTGGGGGTGGTTTTTACGGGGTCGGGATGGTTTTCACGAGGGTGGGTGTGGTTTATACGAGGGTTTTTGGGGTGGTTTATACGGAGGTTAGGGTGGTTTGTACGGGGTTAGGACTTAGGGTTAGTTTATACGAGATTGGTAGTTTTGGGTTTTTGTACAGGGTTAGGAGTTTTTCTACGGTGGTGTTAAGTGAGGTTAAGGTCTTTGTTATTGATAATATTTTCTTGGTTTTTTTTTTAAAATATTAAATTGAGTATATTATTTCCTTTGCAGTTTGGCTCAATTGATTTCTTGAAAATTGATGATTTTTCTGGGTTTATTTTGGATAACAGGATTGATTTAGGTGCCTAAGAGTTGATTTTGGTGAAGGCTGCAAATGTGATAATATATGTTTAAATTGATTTATCCCCTTAATTTTGCTATTAATGATGTTCCTAGGTGAAAAATTTGATGTTAGATTGTGACAAGATTTATAAATTGAAATGCATTTAGCTACGCAGGAAGAGGAAGCTAGAGATGATTTGTTGCTAAATCAGTTGGTAAGGTTGTGTTTATGTTGTTGATGTCTAGTTTTTAAGAATTATAAGTTTTTTAAAAAAAAAAAAAAAATTGATTCTCTTAATGGTGTACAGGAGGATGACCAATTCAAGAAACTCGCTTAGCTAATGTATGGAGGGCTAAAGAAATTACCAAGGATGTGTTGAATTCACTTGCTGCATAAAAATGATGGGAATGTTGTTAGTTTTGGTAACTTGTAAATTATTATTTCCATTAGTTATTATTTACTTGTAATTTATTTCCATAAATTCTCTTATGTTAAATTATTGTTCGTATATACTTGTAAATGTAACTACTAGTAAATTCAATAATTATATAAGTTTATGTAAATTTATCTAATTGTTTGGTTATGCAATTTTCAATTTTAGTAGAATAATTACAAAATAATAAATATATATCGTCGGATTATTTTAAAATAAAATAAAATAAAGAGACCTGTTATCTGACAAAATAGGTCTCTTTATGGCTCTCAAAGAGACCTGTTGTGTTAAATAATAGGTCCCTTCCCCTTCTTAAATGTATGATGTGTATACATGCAAAGAGACCTGTTACCTTACTTAACAAGTCTCTTATTGATTACAAAGAGACCTATTCAGTTGAACAGGTTTCTTTTGCAAAGAGACCTATGAGCTCGACCTCCTCTAAATAGGTCTCTTATGTCATTTCCAATGGGTCTTTTTGGCCTTTTTTGTAGTAGTGCCACTAACTCTAGACTACCTAAGTCCCTAATCTTTGGGCTATTTTATAAGTGGTAGTCTAGTGGTAGTTGATTTGCGCTTATTCATATTGTATATTTGTATGTCAGATAGATACTACTCTGTAATATTGATATGATATATGTTGCATATACAATTACGGAGTATTATCAAATGAGATATGAGTCATGATATCATTGCATTATATAAGACAAGTTTTATAAACCTTAAAAGAATACCACTACCTAAATTTGATAAAGATGTTCGAAAAGGCGGGAAGTCCCCAGCATAAGAACTAACGTAAACCATAGGAACATGAACTAAAATCAACATGATCTCAACATGAACAGGAACTCAGATCAGGCAGAATATGGAGTAAAACAACATGATCTCATCACAATATAATCCGGACAAAACATGACTCATTGTAGTAATAAAACTCACACAAAACACGTAATGAAGAATATAAAAACCAAAGCATGGACTCAAGTCAATTAAAATCAGAAGCTGAAATTAAATTAGGGTGAAGAAAATTATACGCTGCCTATTCGCCCAGATGGATGAAATTTGCGATCATGATACTTGAGAAAACCGAGGTATGCTGGATCAAATTGGTCCTCATCAACCACAATCCCAGATGTGATCCTTTTGTCGCCATCTTTTGTTTCTTCAGAAGGGAAGATCATTTTGGTTGGGGGATTTGCCACCTTTCCTTCCCTATAAGCCTCCTCATACTAATTTTGGTGGTTTAAAGGTGGGACTTGTCGGTTTGACAATTGGCACGCTAGAATGCCAGATCTCTTCCGAATCCACCACCTTTTCCTCCCCCTTTGCCCCCTGAATAGAGTTGAGGGCCCTTCCCAGACATTTGAATGAAAAATCAGACAATACCTCCCTAGCTTCACCTGATTTGTAAAATCCAAGAGGCCATGTTGGAACAACAAGTGTGTAGTGTGTGAATTTTGTGAAAAAACTCAAAGTCCCACATTGGTGGGAAATGAGAGTTTTACTCTCTTTATAATATAGAGAGTGGGCTAAAGGGGTGTGGCCCTTGGGCTACCCACATTTTGTGGAGAGGGAAGACCTATATGGTAAACCATCTATCACACACACGCGGGCTGGGTCGGGTCGGGTCGGGTTTATTAAATAAACTTATTTTTTGGACAAGGCTAATTGCGTGATTAGTTCCTTGATTTTTGCTAAACGTTTTTGACTGATTACATTTGACCGTTTTTCAAAACTGATTAATGGAGCGTTAATCATGCAAACGTTTTCACTGATTTTTTGCTAAACGTTTTGCCACGCATTAATCTTCTGTAACCGTTTTGAACGTTCAACTTATGACCGTTTTAATTGCGTGATTAGTGCCTAATTAAACAGCAGCAGTTACGTTGCAATTTTTCCTATAAAAGGCGTGTTGATTTCCTGTTTTTTATACACAACGAATACAGAAAGCAATCTTCTTCTCCTCTCTATTTTTCCTCACAAA